TAGAACATTGCTCTACTTTTGCAGCGAGCACCGCGAGAAAAGCTACGCTTTGCTCCCACAATGCAGTTCGGCGAATCGTGACGTCACCCCATTCAAAGTGAATGGGCAGAAGCGTTGAAGCGGCAACGCACGCCGCCGTGTGTAGGGGCCGTTACGGCCCGTCCACACAGCGGAGCGCGTTGAAGCTTCCAACGCTTCTGCCCATTCACTTTGAATGGAGTGACGTCACTTTTAGCCGAACTGCATTTTGGGAAGCGACGTGGAGCGTTGCTGGCGTTGCTGGCGTTGCTGGCGTTGCTGGCGTTGCTGGCGTTGCTGGCGTTGCTGGCGTTGCTGGCTTCAAAAGTTGAACATTGCTCAACTTTTGAAGCCTCGACGGAGGCGTCAGCCAATGAAATCCCGTTTATGCAAATCTGCCAGTACAAGCGCTAGCCAATAAAACCGCGTGTATGCTGGGAGAGACTACGCAGGTCATTTCCTCATTTTCCAAAAAATGGAGGGAAAATTCATTATAGCGGTAGTGAATCACTCGGTGCTGTATGATCAGTCTCTGTTCATCTACCGCAGGGGTGGGGAACCTCCGGCCTCCGGGCCGCATACGGCCCGCGAGACAATTTGGTACGGCCCTCGAGGTAATTTATAAAATCACGCAAAAAAGAAAAAAATGTAAGAAATCTAGACCGAAAAAAAATTAAACAAGCGAGTGCCTGTTTTTCCTGGCCAAGGTCAGGGTCCTTGAACACAACACGAGTTTAACGTGTCATCACGTGGTATATGTCTCGACTGACAGGGATGCAGTTCTGACTGAGAGCACCAGAACGCCACTCCAGCACTTCAGAAATTGCAGTACCCATAAGGAGCCGTACACATGCCGCAGTTTTTGCGTGGCTGTGTCTTTAGTTGTAAGCCCAGTGGCGATCTGTTCATCTGTCATACTGATCGTAAAGTCAATAACTTTGTTGTTATTAGCATCTGGTTAGCTAGCTATGCTAACGAATATAAGAAGCTTTTTCTACAACCAGTGAGGTAAAGGCACATCTTTATATGATCATTATAGTTATAAAAAAATAAGAGAATAAAGTAAACGGGTACAAAATACTAGATGACAGTAAAAAAAAGTTGTTATTAATAAAGAAGAATACAGTTTAAAAGGAGAGTGATTTGTAAAATATTCATAAAGAAAAATAAATCTGCTTCCAGTTCTGTTTCATCTGGGTGTTGAGAGATGTTTCCATAGATCTCTTCATGTTGCTCTCAAAGTGCACCAGATTGATGCTTTTAACTTCAACATTTAAAAAAAATCTTCCCGAGGGAGCATGCCCCCCGGACCCCCCTAGAGGAGGTTATGCCCCTCCCCCCACTTAAATCATGTTCACATGGATAGGAAACTAAATACATTTGCACACATCTTGTGTCCATATCTTTCTGTTTTGGTGGTCACGCCACACCGTGCATGCATACGCGAGTCATGGTGAGATATCTGGGTTAAGAGGTTGCTTTTTCTTTGCACAGAAAGAAATGAATGGGCTGTGATTTTAGTTATTTTAAGCAGAGGTCAATAATTTGTACGGCCCTCTGAGGATATTGTAAAAATTGAAATGGCCCTTGAGAGGAAAAAGGTTCCCCACCCCTGATCTACCGGGATACAAACCGGAGGAGCGAGGCATGGAGGGAGGTGGCAGAGACAGTGGATGAAACTGGTAGGTTTTCGCCTGTTTGGGGATTTTATATCCAGTTTACTTCGTTTTAATATTGCTATTGCTTTGTATGTCGGGGGCGGGAGATTCATGTGATTGGTTGTTGGTCGCAAAAAATCCCCAAGCTTCAGATACGCCCACCTCCAAGCGTCAACGCAACGCAAAAATATGTTGATTGGCTAATTGCATCAAGTCCTTTATATTGGCCCTTTGAAACAAGTCATTTGATTGGTCGATTGAATCGAGCCATTTGTTTGACACATTTAATTTAGTCATTTGATTGGCCAATTGGATCGAGTCACGTAACTGGCCCATTGGATTGAGCCATTTTAATGGCCCTTTATATTTGGCCATTGTCAAATAACCTATGGGAAGTCGGCCATTTTACATTCAATTTTGTTTTGGGGGTCACTGCAATAAAATGCAGCATCAGGCAGCGTCTCCCCCACGCCACAGACAGACATGAATGTGAGAGGACTCATTCATTGCAGTTTGCAGCTTCAATTAACCTTATGATCCATTTATCTCTATAAGTCTCATTCCTTCTCCACTCTATTTCTTGTTCTTGGCGCCACTTGATAGGCTGGGTCAGTAACAGGGTGCTGCTGACATAACAAGCCAAGTCTGCTCCAAGAAAGACATATATAGTACCTCACACCTTCTCTAGTAGGGAGAAAGTACTGGCTGAGTGTTTCATGTGCAGGCTGGCCTTTGCTCCCTCAGCATAGTTGGGACAAGACCAACATGAGCTATCTGTCAGTTGTCCTGGCTTCTTTTCTCACTCGTAATTGAGCCTTGGCACTGATGTTGTCTCTATCTGAACCTCACTCTCTGTGACCTCACATTGCTCGTGCTTTCCTGGCTTTGGACGCAGTGGAACATCAGCCTGATATTTGAAACCAAGACTTGCATCCACCACTTTTCCAGGGGGGAACCTGTCCCACCCCTAAAAGATCATTCTAGACTGGGAGAATGCAGAACATTTGCAGCAGTTCACAAGGCTTGGGCTCTACATGTGAATTATAAAAGTACTGAAATAAGAAGTAAGTAAAGTATTCCAATTCAAATGTACTAATGTGTAAAGGAAGACTTTTTTATATTTCGGCAGAAGCTTTAAGTCTGTCCTGCAGATTCAGAAAACATGTTTGTTGAAATAACTAATAATTTGATTAGTCTGAGCTGCATGCTTGAATATTTTGCACTTCACCAAAGGGAAATGATCCATCTTGAACTTAACAGCACCTCTTAGTCAACTTCTGCAGAAACATGAAAGACGGACACAGTCATAGTAGGGGCATTCGTGACTCAGGCAAACTGTCTGCCTCTTAATGTTGAACCTGCAGCCTTGTCTCTTGCGATTTGTCCCAGACCTGTGACTCAGGATGCAAAAATGTCCTGTGAGTCAAGAACAAAGACAACATATGCACAGCAAGTGTGCAGTCCTCAAAGGGCTTGTATTGATTAGAAGATTTACTACAACTCTAAGATAATCGTTTCGGGAAGGAGGATGTACAAAAAGTATTTTATGAACCATCTGCCAAAACATTTAGTAGTTTTACTGAGCTACCACAAACATGTGGAGGGCTCAGCCAGAATTGTTCATAACACCAGCAAAAGCACAAAATGACACAAAAAAAAGACCCTCACAAATAGCACAAGAAGCACCATGAGTGTCAGATGTAATTGAGAATGTTTAAGTGGTTTGGTAAAGAGAAAGTACCCAGATGACAAACTGGCTAAAAAGCGAATGAGGACCTCAGGGCCCAAACAAATTGTGACACTTTAACCGACTGTGAGTGGATAAGAAAAGCTTCGGGCGAGAATCCCAAATGGAGCATAATTTGACAAGATAAGTCTAAACCTGTAAGCAATAAAGACCTGTCAAAATTCTTCCCGGAAACAATTATTTCCTTTTAGCACCCTCCATCATGAATATACTTCTTGCCATGGTTATGCAATGAATCAACCAAAAAAGTTATTTCCAACAAGATTGGAATTACTGGAATTAAAACAGTCAGACGTTCAAGCCAAGAAACGATTAGGCCCGTCTGATTAGTAGTTCTTTGGAGGGTTTGCTGAATGCACTAAAAGAGGCCTTCATCCAAGCAATTATTAGTTGGATACATTATAGTCACCGTTATTCCAACAAATCAAAGAACAAAGTCAAAGCCTAAAGAAAATATAATCTCCCAGCTCTATTTTCACAGCAAATAGCACGGGTAATACTCCTGCCTGGTAAATCATGTAATATTTTCCTACATTTCACAGATTTACCTTAATGCTTTCTCAAGCATGGCAGCAAGTGGCAGTAAATGCTGACTTGCTTTACTCTGTATTTGTTTTACTTATAGTGTATCAAAGATTTAACTTATAAACCCGTTCATCTGGTTTTAATTTATTGCAAAGATAAATACAACCAGCGCTGAACAGCAGTGTAATGAACTACTGTTTGTTGAAGAGTGTACCATTTGTTTTTCTATGATCCTGCCTGTGTGACGGTATTGGTAGCTTGAAAAAAATATCTCTCAGTGAAAAGCCACAGAATAATAAATTCACCAATTAAATAAAAAATATTGTATATACTCAAATGAAGTCTGGCTTCAGACAAAAAAGTCTGGTTTCTCTGTCTGCAGGGTTGACATTGTAAATAAGGAGATACAAAACCTGCGTATGTAAGTTATATTCTCCGTTACATTATCACGCAAAATTGTGCCATTGACCAATTGCAAATTATCCTGGTAGTATTGACGTTTGATCAAAGATCCAGGAGAAATGATCAAACTCTTTTTTACTGCTCCATAAACAGGAATAGTTAAGTGAAAGCCTTAATACAATAATTGATGGTATTAATACATATTTTTAACAAATTGTGTGAACTAATTGTCCCATTAATGACCAAACTTACTATCTGTCCGACAGTTAAAGCTAGCATTAGTTAGTTACTTGGGAAGCTACTTGGCTATGACATCTTTTTGTTACCCTTTACAATATATGTTTATTAAATGAAATCATCTAGAAACATGATGGAAAATCTATTGTGTCTGAATGGCTACCCTCAATTTGTGAAACTCCTTCTAAATGGTTAAGGTTAGGCATTGACCACACACTAGTGTAATAGATGTTTGTTCATCAATTACACTAGTTCACCAACTACCCTGGTGTAACCGGGCCATAATTAACAGTCGATGGAAGACCATTAAAACATATTATTGGTTATTTTTTGACCGATCCTTCTTTGGCAAAGCTATGAGACTCTTCCCGGCTATTATAAGAAGCGTTAGGCAGCACAGCTGCATCACTCACACAGGCAGTCTGGTGGTCGCAGGTCGTGGGGGCTGGACCTTCGTGGTATCGATGGCCTGCCTTTCTGACGGCCTTCTTCGCGGTTGGTCTCTCTGGAAAGGGTTGATCCCGGGTTGAACGCGCCTCAGGGCTCCTCCATCACGGATGTACACCTGCTCTGGAGCCACCTCCTCACAGCGGGGCCCCTGGAAGCCTGAGCGACACACGCAGGTCTGTGGCCGGCTGCAGGAGCCACGGTTCTGGCAGGGGGGCTGGCAGTCAGCTGAAGAAAGAGCACAGATGGAGATCAAGTTTTCAGCAGGTCATGTTAGAGCATGTGCCCCCCTTGTATGAAGGAGCAGTAGCAGAAAGACTTTCCCTGATCTCAACACCGGGGCTCACTTTAAATTGATTCAATCAAGGGGCCATTAGTTTCACTTCTCAACCTTCTCTGTCCCTTTCCTTCAGCAGAGGGCCTGAAGGGGCTGTCATGTTCAATTTCTCTTGAGTCTTTAACTGCCCTGTTTAGTCTAAATGTATATGATCACTTACATTAAATCCTTATCCAATTTCTGGCTGAGGTAAAGCCTATACTTCAGGTCCATGGCTCAGTTAAGTGCCGCCAGCATTTCTATACAAAGTGAGTTCCTTAAAATATATTTCGTCACTGATCTAGAATCCAGTGAGGGCTTTCACTGTAACACAGGAAGCTTAAAAAGCCAATGAAAGTAAGAGGCCATAAAAACATGAGCGAATGGGAAAAAACTCAACGTCAACTGTAAATAGCTGACACTTCATCCACTAAATGCCTGTGTCTTTTATTTGAAAAACAAACAAAACCTGTAGGGGCTTACTGTACTTTAAGAGGAATGCGTGCATAATATTACCAATAGTCTTCAAGCTTACAGTCTTAAGAACATTTCATGGTCATGGAAAAATAATATGTGTCACTCTACCAGCATCACACTCCAGATACTGAAAAACTCTGCGGCACGCAGAGCAAAGTAAACAGCCTCTTGATCTTGTGACACAAATGTATGGCGTGGGCCGCGTGGACGGCACTTGAGGATTTATGACATTATCCTCAAACAGTAAATCAGGCCACTGGTCGGTGGTGGTTAAAGCAAACAACGGCGCTCTGTCAACAGGGCTGAGGAATGCTATTGACACAGATGCTGTGGACACTGACAGATCGCAGGCAGGAACGCTGCCACCGCTCTTGGCAGGGACGAGTGCTGGCAGTCGGAAAAAAGGGCCCCACTGGTGGCGAACAGCGCATTACCTGCTGTGAGTTTCCTGTTGTTGCCACTCTGCTCAGACTCAAGGGGATAATTTATGTTTTTTTTTTTAAGTGAAGGCACACTGGACCCTAAAAATGTCTGTTCTTGGTGACATGAGCTTTAAAGTGACACAAGGAAAATGACAGCAGCGCGTAACAAACGTACAGAACACAAAGAGTGCCACATCAGGCTCTACAGTACATTTGAGTTGTCTTAGATGATGCACACTTATTGAAAGACCACTGCATTAAGCATCATCAGCGTGTGGTACAGTGAGAAAAACTAACACATTGAAGATTAAATATCAAACCACCCTCTTCTGTTTTTTGGTTGACCAGTTTTTATTTAGAAACCAATTCACTAGAGTATTTTGATTTAACTACTATGAGGAAAATGTAGCCCCTTTTTTGATTAAGCATACACATTTAAAGAGATGTGGTTGTGGATATATATAACTTGGTATGTGATCCGAATTTTCCATCATGGGATAAAGTAGGAATTGCCTGGGCTCTGTTTGGCAAGGAGTTAAATCAATCATCTAACTAAAGTACGTGCTGGCTGTCTGCCACCGCCTCGTCCGGAGTCTGTTTAACCTCAAGTTTGGGGATGAAGAGGTGGATCCAATAGTCCACAGATTCCAGTGATATTATGCCGCAGGGGGAGAACTTAGTAATGTGTGAGACTGTGTTCTTCAAATAAACTGTCTGAATTAATATGAGAAACAGTGCAGGTAAGAAAAAGAATCCAATGAATGAAGTAGGCGGCTGGCTGATGATGGGATATGTGTTTAATTCTGCAACATGTGGCTCGTTTTCAGCCATGGGACACACAGAAATGACACCAGACAAACATGTCGCCTGTGCTGACAGTAAAATGGACAGGTCAGTGACTCTGGGCCAGACATGTGCCCCACATGAAGCCTGTTGGCCGGCCGCAGCGTATCCTGCCACTGCCTGTCTGTGTTGTCTCTGGGCCCGGCCTCTGGGCTGTTGAACACATTGTCGCAGTAATTGCTGTCATGCAGATTTGTCTTGCACATCATTAAAACTAATTGGCTCACATTCCATCCATTTTACAAATATGTGCAGCAATTATTGCTTTGCGAGAGTAATAATAAAATGGGAATCCATCAGAAATAAAAGAAAATAAATGGCAAACATTCCTGGCATTGCCACTTCACCCTCAATTATAACTAAGCCAACTGGCCAAGTTTTGCAAGACTGTGTTGAGATCCAGTCATCTGAAAAGGGGAGACTGTTGGCAGCTTTGAACCCTCCAACCAAACATGCTGATCCAGGACAATCTGTATGAAACACATTATTAATGCGGACACAGCACTTTCTTTCCCCTAAAAATATATCTTCAACTTTACATTTAGGTGGGTCTGAGGTCTTTTCTCCCTTCAGTCCTCAAACCTAAGCTACATAAGGATATTTTAAGGAGGCCTAAAGAAAACGCCTGACGGCCTTGGCCATCTTTCTGCAAATAGTGTTCACTTCGGAGTAAAGGGATCAGTTCTGTAAGAATATAAACCTTAAAAGGTATTTCTGTAGTCAAAGTTCGAGGCAAATGCACAGTAATTCTGTAGGTAATAAAGTAACCGTAGGGTCTTTATAGAGCTAAGCATGGTTCAAATTTCTCTAGTGGGCTACAGTTACCTGTTATAAGCGGATTGTATGTGCATGTCTATATTAGGAAAATTACCATTCTCGCTCCCCCCTTTCACTGGACTCTAATTTCCAACTAAGAGCTTGTTTCCAGTTCATTACAATCCACCAGAGATTCACCGTTCCCCACTCTGTGACTCAGAGTAACACAACCCATCAAACCTTTACAGTTATTTCATTCAGCAAGGGGCCATTTGAAACCAATATCCGACATAACTCAAACATGTAGAGAAATCTCCTCACTTTACGCAGGTCAACAGTGCTACCAGAGGTAATTTGATCTTTTTTGAAAATAATATTGATAATGAAAGCATAATCGCCAGAATCTTGGGAAGGACTTTTTCCAGGCTGAGCGCATTACGCGCCATTATGAGATTTAGAGGCTGGGAGCTGCTCCAGAGATTTGAATTTAGTAGAATACGACAAAAGGCTTGACTAAAGTCCCTTTCAACACTGTAATTAAAGAGAGGAAGTTAGAAAATATCAATGAAAGTAAAAATGACAGTTGCACCAGAAACGGCTACACTGAAACAGACAGTTCTAGGTAATTACCTAGAACTGTCTGTTTCAGTGTAGCCGTTTCTGGTTTGATTCTAGGAGATACGATAAAATAACAGTGTTAAATCTATAGAAAGAATGTGTGTATATACATGTGGATGCAATGTTGGTCAAGAATGTTAAGCCTCAGCGATGTATGAATGGGTGAATGATAAAGTATGAAGGTGAAGAATGAAGTATGTAAAGGTCTTTGAGGCGTCTCGAAGACTGGATAAGGAGCTATAGTACAGTCCATTTACCAATTAAATTAGGTCCTAAAATTTGCTCTGAATTTAAAGCAACCGTATATAGACAATTGTAAAACTCTTGTCACTGAAACGTAGTCTGTTCAACATCCTGCGATGACAGCAAGAGCCTCTTTTTAGGAGTTACCACTGAACCTGACAGATCTCATGAAATAGGTCAAGTGTTGAGGATTGTGGGAGGCAGCAGGGGTAAGCAAGCTTAAGATTTGCCTCTCATCCGGACTAGCTATCCGTTAAGGGAGTAAGAATTGGTCTATTGAGCAGTTAATACAATTGCCTCTCAATGCTAATCATTTCAAGTGAGTGTTAATCTCTTTACAGCATGTGATTTCCACATGGTTGCCATTGCAAATGCTATCACTTCAGGCTTGCCAAACGCTAACTTAACCAAACTGTTACTGTAACTCTAAAGTTCTCTATCAGTCCTAATCAGAACCAGAACGAGGGAATCTGACACTGTTTGACTAATCCTTTATTTTTCTCTTTGTGGTAAATCTTACAAGGGTAATATTTCACCGGATTAAGGTGCCTATGTCATGGATGCACATATTTCAATCAGTGTGGGCGTTTTGGTCCAATACAGTAGTTGTAGCTTTTATTCTCCTAACCCACCTCAGCTCTGTGTGGGGATTTTGTTAACCTACACTTGACCCATGACACTGTGTACATTACTTTTAGCCGCGCTATATCGTGCCTCCAACCCTCAGACTCCCACATTCAGATTCTAATGAGCCACATGCTGAGGCGCTCTGTCAAGGATATCTGGATCTGGGGGCGTACGCCCGCAACATGTAAAGCTGACTCTGAGAAACGTGGTGTTCACCAAAAAGCCACAAACCCCATCCTCCTGAGGGATCACATCGCAACAACTTCCATATGGTCTTTAAGCAGGAGAGTGCCATGATATATGGTTGACTACAGTCTGACTTAACAACACTGGGGCCTCAGCGAGCGTGTGTGTGACTGAAGGAGAGGGGTGCTGGTTGTTAATGTTGCTTTGTAACTGTCAATCAAGCCCATTCTTGCTTTTCAGGCTTTCTGCTAAGAGATAGGCGGTAGTCGTCAACTTTTTGCATCATGAAAGCGTGTTATTAGAGAATATCTTTCATCTAAACATAGCCATGTTTGTTCTACTTCTTCATTACCATAATATAGCAGCTCATGAACAAGAATGTGCAAATAAACAAGAAATAAATTTAACAGGAAGATGTCTCGGTCCAGACGCTGAACAGTACATCATTTGCACCACACTTTCGTCTATGGTAGCAATTAGAAAAACATGTGGCGCAGGAGGCAAAAAACAGAACGCAATTGCAACCTTTAAGCAGACACACCAGCTGGAGTGGAGAAAGCAGCACTCCTGGTTTGTGGAGAAGAGCAAAGAACGAGCTGTCCAGCATGTTAATGATGGGTTTTGGGCCAATGGGGTGTGTATTGATTACAGGATATGTCCAATGGACCATAACTCTCTGCAGGGCTGCCAAGGGAGTGTCATGCCCGTAAACTAAACCCCCACAAATCCACACACGACAT